ATGTAAAGACATCCCTTGAGGATTTTGTTATAATTCCCGACGAAGAGTATGAAGTAGAGGATGGCGAGAAGGGAACGGATCCTGCAGAAAAAACTGTAAAAACTGAGGAAACATTCTCTGGCGTATGCGATTGGTCAGTTAAAGAGTGTGTGAGTAGTGTGATTGTCAAATCAGAGGTTCAGCCAGACAAAGACAATGATGCTGTTAGTCTTCCAATGCGATTTTCTGAGAGGGATGCACCAGCACTCGGCCGGGATGAAGTAAAGAGTACAGATGACTCCAAGGTATTTTGTTTTATCTGGATCACTTTATGGAAGCGTTGGTTTTTTTGAGGAAGGTCATTAAAATTAGTATTCCCTGTGTATTAAATTAAAGATTTTCATTCCGGTAAATGCAACTGATAGCTTATTAAGCTTATTAGCTCAAATATTGTTTTGCAGTATAATTTGGAGAATTTCGCTGAAGAGCTTGCTAATAAACTGTCCAAAACACCGTTGGAAAGGATGGCAGAGATAAGAGAAAGTGTGCGTCGTGAGATGGATGAAGTATTTGCGCAGCAGATAGTGAGGGAAATTGTCAGCAGATCATATTCGTTTGATGCTAGACGGGAAGTTCTTGATCGAATTCGTCAGGTGTTTCAACCTTCCACATGATTCTTATTTTCTAAGCAGAAGCCACACTTTTTATTTTTCCAAGCAGAAAGTCGGCATGATTTTAGTCTTTTGCTAATGTTCGGATCCTTTCCTCTGTTGTTAGTCGTTGTAAAGTTTGCCGTACAGTTTAATTGAAGAATTTTATTTTATGGAACGGCATGTATTTTCAATTGTTATTGCACTCAAGAATTACAGGGTAGAATTTTCTATAAAGATCAGAATTTTGAAAATAAGCGCCTCATACAATATTTTTCTCGTTGTCAAGTCATTTTTGTTCGTTTCTTGTTACCTGTTCCTTCGCTTGTTGAGACGTTTTATATTTGATTACAGATGTGTGTTTGCTTTTTAAACCATAACTTTCTGTGGAGAATTAAGATTTTACAGATTATGCATTCCCCTTTTTTCCCTCGCGGAAACATTTTCTTTTTTAATGGTAGAATAACTTTTATGTCGCAATGCTGGTTTATTTCTCCTTGCGTCACGGGGCTCATGCTGATACGCTACGTCAGACAGTGCTAAAGCCTCACTTGTTCTAATGTTAAAATGAATGAATCGTTGGTTTTTACGCGTGCTGTTAACTTTGAAATGTGCTACGCGAGAAGTTCAAAGCGCAAAAAGGGCTCAGCAACTTTGAATGCTTTTAAAACCTTATTTTAGTAGGTGGAGCGGTTGTGCCCACTGCAGTCTTCTAAGCGCAAAAGTCCCCTTAAATTCGTCTCCACGTCGTAACTCTAAGTGAAGAGCAGTACAGGTTGATACGTCTGAAAGTCTTTTTCCAGCTGTCTTGTAAAGAACGAGTTTTGAACGAAAAGCCATAAAAGGCAGGATAAGAAAGAAGAGGAGGAGATGAAAAGATGTTTGAAAGCCAGGAGCTTCAGGGAACCTGCACTTTCAGACGTTGCTTGGACACTGTTTGGAGAATACATTTAGTTCCTAAAAAGCTGACACCATCACAGCGGAAAAAATGGAATGATTTCCAGATATGACTCAAAAGACGCACAATATAAAAGGCACAGGGAAATTTGATTGGTATATTATGGTGGAACAAATGGACTCACTACCCAACAACTTAATATCACAAGGACTACAAAAATGTTAAAAGTAAGACTAGTTTGCAAGTCTGCATCACGAGTTAGTGGTAACGTCTAGAAACAATTCTTGCATAAATTAAAGATCAAAGGACTTGAAATAATCATGGACAGAGAGCAAAAAAAGTGACGGCGTCCCCAACTTGCTTTAAACGAATATACAAGAAGCCTGTAACAAACCAGAAACGCCAAACTCTAAAGACAGAAAAAAGTCACTATAATCAGAGATGTTATGAGCACAAACAAAACAACTTGTTTACAGATACTAATATGCAGTAGTGATAGCACAATTTTTTTAAAAAGATGCTTGAACTGGGCCAGTAACAACCAATTTCACAACAAGTTACCTTTGCTTAATGAGCTAACGCTAAGAAAAGTAACGAATAACAAGAATGAGCCGCTCAAATCCCCCAGTGCCGTTAAGTACGGTATCGCAGCACTATCAGGATCTACAGATAACGCCCACATTAATGGTACCATCCACTGACAGATGTATAACAAAAGCAAAACCTGTAATGCAAAAATCATACAACGCAATGAAAATTTTTCATAAAAAATAAACCATAGAAAAGTAACAGAACAAGAAACTACGGTCAAAATAGCAACAAACCTGTAACAAAGCTGCGCATAAATAAAAACTGGTGAATAGGGCACCAGAAGGTGGGGCATCACCAGCGTGCAGAAGCCGCATAATCCAGTTAAAGAACATGTGCCCTGGGACCACAAAAATTAGAAGTACCCTTGCAGACCGTGAATCCCAGTCTGAAAATGTTTCAAAACTGTGAATTTATTTTTCCATACTCTCCAAAAATGAATTTGTTAGAGTACAAGGTACTGCTAAAAAATAAATAAAACAGCACCTGATGAAAAGATGGCTCTTCGAAATCCGTAAAACCTGGACAACGACCAATCGTAAGGTAGAATACCTATTGTTGAATTCTGGTGAAAGAATGTACCCATGCGACTGGCTTGCACAGCCGCCAAATTACCTCCAACTCCTAAATGATATGATTGTTTTTACAATTATAAGCAAAACAGGTCATATCTAATATTCATAGGTTTGCCTCTCTACTACTGGTCATTTGATGATTAGTTATAAATGTCGAAGTTAGGAAAGCAAAAAATAACCATTTATAACAGGTTGAAAAGCAGCAACTTTAGGGAACTGTTTGATGGCTGTTTTGAGTATAAAACCACCACCGCTACTTATTAACATGCTGAAAATGACCGGAGACCACCCATTTTGCAAAACATCTTTCGCACCTTCGTCTCTCCTGGCCATTAAAGCAAAAAATGGAGCAGCTAGTAAGAATACAATAATTGTACAAACATTTAGCCACGACTCGGTTAAGTGAGCGCGAAGAAACCCAGAACCTCAAAAAAAAAAAAAACAAAAAAATATTTGAGAACACTGGACAACTCTCCTATGAAGGAAAGTAGTTCCCTCCCTTTAGAGAATATATTTTTGCACGGAAATCACTAATAACAAATTTAATACTCAACTAATAATCAAGATTTTTAGTTTTTATAAGTTTTTAAAAGATTTGAAATATATCAACTAATTAAGAAAATGCTAATAACCAAAGATGAAGAAACTTCAGATGAGTTCGCTGCTTAAAAAAGCAAATGTAAAGAAGTTAAGAAAAAGGAAGTCAATTTGTAATATAAAATAGTGCAACATTCCGTAAAAATACCAAAAACGGTCAAGACTCCTAGAGTAGTCAAGTCTCCAAGAGAAGCTGCTATAGGGGTAGCCACATTATCGGGATTGATACGCGTCTTCCTTGAAATAAGTATAACTCCTATCATAACACAGCTTAGAAGCAAAGATGCACCCGAAGCAGTTGCAAGACTGCTCGCGCACAACAAAGCAGCGTGAGACCAATCGACCTTAAAAGAAGAGAGAATTTAGAAATCAGCAAATTGTCTAATATACTACCCCAAACAACTGATATCTAAAAAAGGAAAAAAGAAATGTTGACTTGGCCTTTCGGAATCCACGCCAAAACCATGGCGAAAGCAGAGGCAAAAAAAGCCACAACAATTGCCTGTGCCTGGATCAAAGCGAAATTTGATGTAACTACTTTCCACCTCTCTGTTGAAGAGTCCATTCTGCCGAGATTAGCCTAAAATCACTTCATTTAAAGAAGAAATGAATCTGCCACAAAATGAATTGAACTAAGCGTACTAAAGTCGACAAACGGGAAGCCAACGTCATTTCAAGGTTTCCTTTCAAACCCAGTAGAGCTGGGACCAAGATAAAGCTTTCGGGAACCTAAATAGGAATAAAAAAGCAGATTATTATGGGACAGTAGAGCAACTCCAATGGTGCGTGAGTAGCAAAGCAAAACTAAGAAGACTATACAAGAAAAGAGAACTCCAACTCCGTCAGAATAATTTAGAGGAAAAGCAAAAAACGAATTACTACTAGTGAAGAAGCTACAATATCAAAACTTCATTTAAATAGGTGCCTTTTGAAGGTAATTGCAAAGACCAATTCAAATAACTAGACCTGTGAATCTTTGCCAAGTTTTAATATAAAAGCAGGCTTCTCAACGTATTTCACAAATGAAAAAAACCAACCTGTTTAAAAAAGTCCCATCGCTGAACGGTATCTAAGACATATCCAGCCATGACCATTCCCAAACCTCCGACAGTAAAAGGAAAGAGGACCTGAGAAAGTAATTTTTAATAGTGATTTCGATTAATAGGAAAGCGTATCGTATCCATGTATAAATTTTGCAGACTTCCGGAAATATGAATATCTGCGATACCTGGAAAAACAAGATATACGACGATTCAACTGGTGTAGTTGTCCGCACAACAAGATCCATATCGACATTAGATTTTATTGATTCACCTGAGGCGCTGCTGTAAAAATAATCAAATTACCAAGCTAAAAAAAATTATGACTGTAAGAACTATATGTTTCAGTGAAACTTTGTGTAGAATAAGTAAAAGTACAATAAACCAACTTAGTTGCCATTTGAACTTCTTCACGACATTTTGAATATAGAACATCACCCATCTTAGTTAGCTTTATAACGGAATCTTTAACAATTTCCCGCGCCTCATGTAAGCTATCTTCATTAAGCCCATGTTTTTCACTGTCTCCACTGCTGTGGACGTGTGGAAGCTCCTCACTTCCAACATCTTGTGAGGCCTAAAAAGTGAAATTAAAACTAAAAAAGTGCACAGATTCGTAAACATTTCAAGTCTCAAATATATCAGTTATATAAGATATATCTAGTGTATCCAAAACACTGCGAACTGAAGTAAAAACAGTGATTAACAACAATAAAAACTTGATATAACTGGAATAAAGCAAAAATTTTTCAGTTACATCTCTTAGGCTAATACCACCATTTGAGAACTTTCTTTGAAAAGAACTTATTTTCCAGTCATTAAAGGCAATAAAATTAAGCAGTTACATATAT